ATTATTTGCATTAATCTCATTAGTGACATCCCCGTGTGACATCATAGGGACACAAACAAAAGCTATTTTACGGATGGAGTAAATACTGTAACATTAGTGGGGCAAGAGTCAGTCAACATCATAAGAATTACAAATTTTGTGTCCTCTTTTTAGTGTTATGTCCTGTGCGTGACACATTTGTTTGGTTCTGTCGCAATCCCCTTTGAGTCCAACATACAATTTTCTATAATAAATACACATTCTAGAATACACTGGATCAGATCATTGAGCCTATATATAGAAGGTAGGTAAAATGAAGACTGTATGTAGACAGCCACTTGAGGCAGTCTTAGCACTGCAATGTAAACATTATAGTTTCTCTAAGACTGCAATGTTTTACACTGCAGGCATAGGCGTGCGCAGCCTTTTACATTAGGGTGTGCACCCTAAAGCACAAGCACACGCTGCATATATATATGTATGTATGCATGTATATATATATGTGTGTGTATATATATATATATATATATACAGGGAGTGCAGAATTAGTAGGCAAGTTGTATTTTTGAGGATTAATTTTATTATTGAACAACAACCATGTTCTCAATGAACCCAAAAAACTCATTAATATCAAAGCTGAATATTTTTGGAAGTAGTTTTTAGTTTGTTTTTAGTTATAGCTATGTTAGGGGGATATCTGTGTGTGCAGGTGACTATTACTGTGCATAATTATTAGGCAACTTAACAAAAAACAAATATATACCCATTTCAATTATTTATTATTACCAGTGAAACCAATATAACATCTCAACATTCACAAATATACATTTCTGACATTCAAAACAAAACAAAAACAAATCAGTGACCAATATAGCCACCTTTCTTTGCAAGGACACTCAAAAGCCTGCCATCCATGGATTCTGTCAGTGTTTTGATCTGTTCACCATCAACATTGCGTGCAGCAGCAACCACAGCCTCCCAGACACTGTTCAGAGAGGTGTACTGTTTTCCCTCCTTGTAAATCTCACATTTGATGATGGACCAAGGTTCTCAATGGGGTTCAGATCAGGTGAACAAGGAGGCCATGTCATTAGATTTTCTTCTTTTATACCCTTTCTTGCCAGCCACGCTGTGGAGTACTTGGACGCGTGTGATGGAGCATTGTCCTGCATGAAAATCATGTTTTTCTTGAAGGATGCAGACTTCTTCCTGTACCACTGCTTGAAGAAGGTGTCTTCCAGGAACTGGCAGTAGGACTGGGAGTTGAGCTTGACTCCATCCTCAACCCGAAAAGGCCCCACAAGCTCATCTTTGATGATACCAGCCCAAACCAGTACTCCACCTCCACCTTGCTGGCGTCTGAGTCGGACTGGAGCTCTCTGCCCTTTACCAATCCAGCCACGGGCCCATCCATCTGGCCCATCAAGACTCACTCTCATTTCATCAGTCCATAAAACCTTAGAAAAATCAGTCTTGAGATATTTCTTGGCCCAGTCTTGACGTTTCAGCTTGTGTGTCTTGTTCAGTGGTGGTCGTCTTTCAGCCTTTCTTACCTTGGCCATGTCTCTGAGTATTGCACACCTTGTGCTTTTGGGCACTCCAGTGATGTTGCAGCTCTGAAATATGGCCAAACTGGTGGCAAGTGGCATCGTGGCAGCTGCACGCTTGACTTTTCTCAGTTCATGGGCAGTTATTTTGCGCCTTGGTTTTTCCACACGCTTCTTGCGACCCTGTTGACTATTTTGAATGAAACGCTTGATTGTTCGATGATCACGCTTCAGAAGCTTTGCAATTTTAAGAGTGCTGCATCCCTCTGCAAGATATCTCACTATTTTTGACTTTTCTGAGCCTGTCAAGTCCTTCTTTTGACCCATTTTGCCAAAGGAAAGGAAGTTGCCTAATAATTATGCACACCTGATATAGGGTGTTGATGTCATTAGACCACACCCCTTCTCATTACAGAGATGCACATCACCTAATATGCTTAATTGGTAGTAGGCTTTCGAGCCTATACAGCTTGGAGTAAGACAACATGCATAAAGAGGATGATGTGGTCAAAATACTCATTTGCCTAATAATTCTGCACTCCCTGTATATATACACATATATACACACATACACACACTGCTGTGTGTGTGTGTGTGTGTGTGCTGTGTGAGGGTGTTGTTAGTGTGATGTGCTGTGTGTGTTTGTGAGGGTGCTGTATGTGTGTGTGGGTGCTGTATGTGTGTTGGTGCTGTGTATGTCTGTGGGTGCTGTATGTCTGTGGGTGCTGTATGTGTATGGGTGCTGTATGTGTGTGGGTGCTGTATGTGTATGTCTGTGGGTGCTGAATGTGTGTGTGCTGTGTGTGGGTGGGTGATTGTGGGGGTGGAGGTGGGGGTACATTAATTGCTATCCCCCTCCCTTCTTACCTTTTGTAGGGAGGGGGGATCGTGCTGCTGATTCCATCCCTGGTGGTCCAGTGGAGAGTGAACTCTAGCCCCTGTAGGGCTAGAGTTCAGTCTCGCGAGATTTGAGCGTTGCCATGGCAACGCTCATATCTCGCGAGAGGAACCCGGCGGAGCTGCCGGCAATAGCTCCGCCGGTCCTCTCCTGCCTCCCTCCCTGCATGTGGGTCAGTGGGGAGGGAGGCTGAGAGCAGAGCCGGCGCTCGGATAGCGCCGGCTCTGCATGAGCCGACAGGGGAGATCCTGAGATCTCCCCTGCCGGTCTCAATATACATAGGCGTGCTGCGGGATTAGGGTGTGCCCAGGCACACCCGGCACACCCCGTGCGCACGCCTATGACTGCAGGGCTATGGGGGACAGGGACACTCCACCCAGTCCACTTCAATAAGTGGTCTGCATGCGTATAGTGTCCCTTTAACAAGTCCCACCCTCTTCAAGGACTCATTGGGAACTATACTATGTCAGGGTATTTATATCGGCAGACATCTTGTGCTATGATAGAAACTAAAAGTGTATATTCTGAGTCACTCTGAACAGACCAGACTCCATTTTGTTATTTCAAGTTAACAAAGAGACACAGTATTTCTATTTGTAAGCTAACCACTTTCCCAGAGCTGAGGAATGCATAGTATATACAAGCCAAGTGATAAGGAAGGGGGTTGGACAGACTGTCTAATGCTAAAAGAATATAATCAAATCTAAACCCAGACAATTGTGACAGAGAAGATTAAATAATTTAATATTTAACTGTCTATATATGTAAGGTACCATTGTATGGAAAAGGGTAAACTTAGTTCATGATCTGTCATATCAGAAATTATGGCAGGAATTGCAGATGCTAAGTCTGGACAAAATTTAAGAAATCCTTTTGAAATTTTGAATTATGGCGCTATAAAGATAACGCAAAATGACGTCAAAATAGCCACCAGGAAAAGTTAACTCTTTCCTGGATAGGTATGTTTAGTGGGACAAGACTGCCCTCTACAGACCAAATAACTAATTTGCGATCTGGAAGATAACCACACCTCTAGTGCTTCTATTGGGTTATCAACTGATGACGTACAGAGAGTCTGGCCCTTTAAAAGTTAAGACAAAGGGAAGATAGGGAGATACGAGAGAGGAGGCAGATGCAAGATATGCAAAGGAGAGGAGAGAGGAATTGGAAGTTTGGGGACTCCAACTCGGACAACATCTGAGACTAACACTCTACTCCTAAAACTCTAACACTTAGAATTTACTGACTTTCTAACCAACACCTCCATGCAGAGAGACTACCAATCGGATGAAATATCTACTCAACTGGTAATTATACTGGTTTCATTTAATTAAATTAAATTAATTAAAATGTATTAATAGCATTATATATGACTGGATAAAGCACGGTCAGATTTCCATATTAAGAAATCTTAGTTAACTAAGAATATATAGTTATAAACATTCCATTCTGCAGGTGGAATTAAGAATAATTATATATTGATGTGATATTATCACGTGTTAGCATACCGCTGTTTTTATCCAGGTGTATTGATTTGCTCTAAATTAAGATAGATATCTTTTAGATAAATTAAAAATCTGCTTATATAATGTAGTAGATTCTCTTATTGGATGATTTAAGAAAATGACTAGTGAACTGGTTTAAATGTTATTTTATTTAAAAATTACATAAGAATAGATCTTAACTACCTAGGAGATCTAG